ATGTTTAGTTCGTGCTGCAAATATTAAAGAGGAAAATATAATTGAATCATATGCAACTTGAACTGAGGCGAATTATCTCACTACAAATTAAAGAGCGTAAAAAAACTTTTTTTGTTTGTATTATATCATAAAATTGAGAAGGCTGAGATTTTATAGTAACAAAGCTGCGATTATTGGGTGGCTTGCATGCTACAAATAATAAATAGACTTGAAAACTTTAAACATCATTTCCAAGCATTAGCCTAGACCGTAAAACTTTAAACATCATTTCTAAGCATTAGCCTAGACTGGAAATAAAACAGCTTGTGAATTGTCACGATTCATGTAACGTTATTTACTTCAGAAAAAGCAACAATAGGGCCTAAGTTAAGTTAACCGAGCCCATAACGTTTGGGGGGGCCGTACAAATTTTTTGCATATGGGCCCGGGGCTGACTCGCTACACCACTGTGTTCAGATACATGATTTTATTTACATGAAAGCCAAATAAACACGTAATGTTTGATTACTGATTTTGCAGGACATGATGGACAATTGAACACAGACTTTAAATGAACTCATACTTTAGAGGCCCGCCGTGTGTATTGATCTTATGATGAATATCATTCCAGGTGACAGCGTTCTCTAAACCGGAGGTTGTAGAGGTCCCAACAGTAAAGATCAGTTTCTGATCAAAAGCCCTCTGCAGCAGTACGAGCACTTCATTTCCTTCACGGTTGTCAGGCAAGTACGCATGACGTGATGTGCCATGAAAATAGTTTCCCGGGTTTGGATGCCTCTTCTAAAAAAATGATAAATATGATGTATTACTGTGCCATAACCTTAACCAAAACTATATGTAAATCAAAAAAATAATTATATATATATATATAAATAAATTAAACATTTTATACTTTATATTGTGTGTTTGTGTTTTCATTGTTTTTCTGTATTTTGTGTGCACTCCTTCTCCTGGAGGGTCAATTTTCAGCAAAGTTTAGCTCCAACCTGCTTCAACACATTTGCCTTAAAGTTTCTAGTAATCCCAAAGACCTTGATTAGTTGGTTCAGGTGTGTTTTTGGAGCTAAACTCTGTATGACAGTGACGCCCCAGGAACAGGACTGGACACAGAATAGTTGGTGTTATAAAGCCCAGGGGCCTGGGGCCTGATGTATAAACGTTGCGTACGCACAAAATGGACGGGACAAAATATGTGTAAATGTGCATTAAGACTAGAGCACCCTCACTCATTTCAGAAGCACCCTCAGTGATTATTTCTGGAACCTCGTTGATGCACTTTTGTTGTATAACTATATACAAAAACAACAAAATACAAATGCATTAAATAACATAATTTAATAAATGCATATTTACAATTTAAGCACTTAACTAAAATAAGTATTAATAAAATAAATAACTAGACTAGAGAAGGCTGACTATAATCAGCTTGCTTCCATTTAGTGAGAAAAGCCTGCTCTTCGCCTGAATTAGAAAAAAAGCTCCTCTGGTCTTCAGTGATGCAAGGACAACGTTTGAGCGTACACGTAATATCTGTGTGAGAGCAGAGACAATTCATAAAAGAACAATGCATTTTTAAAAGCACACGTCCAGTTTTGTGTGAGTGAAGGAAATCTGCTTGCGAGTGGAGATTTGTGCTTGCGCATTACATGGATCACGTTACATTATGCGCTCTCGACATTTGTCATTAAGATCGCGCTATAGAAGCCGTCTAAAATTAAGTATAAAGAAGAGAAGAAAGCGGCCCTAGGCAGCTGCCTACACATGCCAGGATCCGCCACTGCCAGATGCAGTTAGAAATCTAACTGCATCTGGCAGAGTTTTTGCTTTGTAATGTCTCATTTTTGCCACTAGAGGTCCCTATGGTACTCTCGTGTCAATGTTGTGCCTCTTGTAATCAGTGCTATTGTTTTCACATGTGCCTCGTTCTGGGCTGTGTATTTAAGCTGGTCACTTCCTTTGTATCTTTGCTTGGTTATTGTTGTTCCTAAGCCAGTTGCTGCCGTAAGTCTGTTCTAGTTCAAAGAACTATACTTTGAAAGCTTTTTTTGGGTTTTATAAATGAGGCCCCAGGTCTTCCAGCCTAGAGGAATGGTTATTGGGATCCCACAGTATGTGTAGAGCTTCTGCAAAGTGCTTTGATTTTATATATTGTGATTATTATTATTAGAATTATTATTAATCACAAGTCAATCACAATTCAGTTTTACATATTCTTACCGTTTGAATACCCCTGGGTATGTCGTAATATATTTCAATAGTGCCACACTGTGGATATCCAGGGAGACGGAACCTGTTCTTTGTTACTTTCATTCTTCCATCCGGTTGGTTCCCCTCCAATTTCCCAAACACTTCCTTGCACACAGGACAGATGGATCCCAGACTCTCCACTGACATCCTTATACATTCCTGACAGAATTCATGCCCACATTTCAGTTTTGTCTTGTTGGTGAAGCTGTCCATACAAATAGTACATGTCTCCTCTTCAGCATGAGCACCTTTACTCTCGGAAAGTTTTATAAATGAGGCCCCAGGTCTTCCAGCCTAGAGGAATGGTTATTGGGATCACACAGTATGTGTAGAGCTTCTGCAAAATGCTTTGATTTTATAGATTGTGATTATTATTATTAATCATAATCACAATTCAGTTTTACATATTCTTACCGTTTGAATACCCCTGGGTATGTCGTAATATATTTCAATAGTGCCACACTGTGGATATCCAGGGAGACGGAACCTGTTCTTTGTTACTTTCATTCTTCCATCCGGTTGGTTCCCCTCCAATTTCCCAAACACTTCCTTGCACACAGGACAGATGGATCCCAGACTCTCCACTGACATCCTTATACATTCCTGACAGAATTCATGCCCACATTTCAGTTTTGTCTTGTTGGTGAAGCTGTCCATACAAATAGTACATGTCTCCTCTTCAGCATGAGCACCTTTACTCTCATGTCTAGAATTGTCTTTTGAATCTTCATTGAAACCAGCATCTGCTTTGCCTTGCCCTCTAAACTTCACTCCCTCATCCTGTACTGCTCCACCCACTGCTCCTGGTCCATAATCAGGCGTCTGATTCCAGTTGATTCCTTTTGTGTGAGGAATGTCACCTGAGTAACCAATCAATTTCTTCATTTGGTCATCAAACACATTCCTCTGAAGTGTCTTCTCAATATCAGCAATGGCAGGACCGAGATGTTCTGGCAGTCCAACAAGCCTCCAGAGACTGAGTCTATCTGCTGCTGCAACAACACGATGCTGCTGCTGAAGTTTCTCTAATAGTGCTGCCACGTCAATTTTATCTGCAGGGTTTGTGAGTTTACAGCTGACAGTGGCTGAGGCAAGTTTCTGGTAGAGTTGTGTTAAAGCTCTGAGGGCATGACTATCCAGATTAATATGCTGAACTCCTTTAGATCGAGCTTGAACCTTAATTACATTTTTCTGCATTTTGTCTTCATGAAATGACACTCCATACTTTGTTTCAAGCTGGGACAATTGTTCTTTATAGGAAAGATTCATCAGATCCCAATGAACCTTGTCCATCTCAAGTTGAGTTGGAAGGTCCTTAGTGTCCATTTCCAGTGAAAACCTGCTTTGTGGAGAAACATTGTTATCTACATCCATTTCATTTGATTTGTCTTTGAATTGTTGTTCCACTCTTGTTGTCTCTCTTTTAATCATGTCTGTAATTTTATTCGGTCCAAAGAACCGGCAGTCGCTGGCAGACATGGTCAACATCAACTTTGTCTCCTCTGACTGGATGGTACGAATTGCCTCCTTCACAATATCTGAATTCATGTCATTATGATTAATGGCAGCATCACTAAAATTAACCACACAATCAGTGACAAGATTCAGAAAGTCCTCAGAGGCTTTGGAGACAGAATCAGGGCTTGAGTTCTGGGTGGATATGAATGAGACTGACACTTCTGCATGCATAATGACTCCATGTTGTTTCTCAATTTTCTCTACCTCCTTTCTGTAAGAGAGTTGTGTTAAAGCTCTGAGGGCATGACTTTCCAGATTAATATGCTGAACTCCTTTAGATCGAGCTTGAACCTTAATTACATTTTTCTGCATTTTGTCTTCATGAAATGACACTCCATACTTTGTTTCAAGTTGTGACAATTGTTCTTTATAGGAAAGATTCATCAGATCCCAATGAACCTTGTCCATCTCAAGTTGACTTGGAAGGTCCTTAGTGTCCATGTCCAGTGAAATCCTGCTTTGTGGAGAAACGTTGTTATCTACATCCATTTCATTTGATTTGTCTTTGAATTGTTGTTCCACTCTTGTTGTCTCTCTTTTAATCATGTCTGTAATTTTATTCGGTCCAAAGAACCGGCAGTCGCTGGCAGACATGGTCAACATCAACTTTGTCTCCTCTGACTGGATGGTATGAATTGCCTCCTTCACAATATCTGAATTCATGTCATTATGATTAATGGCAGCATCACTAAAATTAACCACACAATCAGTGACAAGATTCAGAAAGTCCTCAGAGGCTTTGGAGACAGAATCAGGGCTTGAGTTCTGGGTGGATATGAATGAGACTGACACTTCTGCATGCATAATGACTCCATGTTGTTTCTCAATTTTCTCTACCTCCTTTCTGTAAGCATGAAGCATGTACCAGAACTGATGGAGGGGGACAGTAAATCCAGCTGAGGTCTCTGGGTTTTTTTCATCAGTTTTAATGGTCTTAGTCTTACTTGGAACATCTGCATCATTATTTTTGTCATCTGATGCAGCAGAAGTCACAGGTTTAGTCTTGTTCACCTAAAAACATATCATGGGATTTTAAGGATTTGATACCAACAGTGACTTTTACAGTAATTGTGTAAATCCCAGTGTATAAAATATAAATGTAAGCTCTATAAGTTGTCTTCGTTGGCTGCACATATATGCAGCAATCCTCATGTAATCCACTTTAGAAACAAATGACGTTTTAGTGAATCAAAAACACACAGTAAAACCAGTGTAGCTCAATTTGTGAACAAATTGACTGTTTTCCATTTATTTGTTAATCAGACAATTACTGTTTTTCTGCTAATTCAGAGGCCCTCTGAGAAATCTAATCTTCTAATCGCACTTCTTAAGTCACGACCACGCAGAAGAAATAATATCCTGCGCACAGGACACATACAAAAAAGTAGGGAAAGCCATTTGATTGAATTCTAGGAAATGGGAAATAATTGCAATGCTCGGGCAAACTGCTATGGAGTTGTTGTCGCTCTTAGAACCGGTGAATGCGGTTTACAGGTTACATAGAAAGAGAAGAAAAATTTGTGCTAAATTAATCGCTGTAGAAATCGAATACTTTAATGGTTGCGGACAAAATAGCTCAACATGAGAGCCAACGCAAACGCAATGACATGTGAAAGAAAACGTCATCATGTTTTAAAGAAGAGTGGTTTGATTAGGTGGTGGAAATAGCGGATGACGGGCACAGAACTGAAACAAAACTCTGAGATATTTACAGTCACACACAGATGTAGTAGTGTGCAAACTCTACTACTCTAAACTCTACTTAGATAACTATATAAGAATTCACATGCTCACGTTTTTTTGAAAATATTTAGCTTACAGATCTCAGTTTAAATCTTCAGTTTGTTTTTTATCTTATATTATATTATATTCCTAATAAATAATTGACCTCAAAAAGGGAATTCATGTTTGTTTTTAATATTATATTATATTCCTAATAAATAATTGACCTCAAAAAGGGAATTCATGAGCAATATCTGCTTTATTTCTTTCATATTATATTATATTATATTATATTATATCATTTTATAGTATTATATTATTACAAATAATTGAAGTGTTCTGATTTTTTTAAATAAATTTTTATAGAATTTCTTGGTAACAAAGCACTCTAAAAAATAAATAAAAATTCTCAGGTAACCTAAAATGTGCATTATTTAGTTACATCAAAGGTCAAATCAAATATAAATAGCACATTAAAGTTAAAAGTTACACACTTTTTGTGTGTGTGTGCGCTGTCACAGGTCTAGTATAAAGAATGTTTTTGCTCAAGTGGCCGAAATGTCTGTCCAACAGAGAAAAGTTTTGCTCAGTAAGAAAATAAATAAAGGGAACATAGGATATAGACCTTTTTGCCATCTAAAATATGTTATGATGTTTTGTATTTTATTACACGAACTTCTGCGGAGAGTAATGTTTGCATAGTAGGTGGCGGTAACACACATAGGCTACAGACAGTAGCGCGTACATGATGCGCACAGAATCATTCAGCGCGGAAATATATTGTCAACACTGTTCTGTGATTTCTGAATAAAATAGCTTAGAAACTGAAAAGTTCAAGCATATATTTCTTAATAACTAAATTCCACAGCTTCACTACTAGTAGAGAGACGCTCCCAGGTAGAATTAATTCACACAGGCAATCGCTCTCACTAATGCATTCATATTAATGTAATCTTTACTGTGCTACTTTATCTGTATCTGATTTAGAATGAGCAGAAATCTGTGAGAAATATAACGACCCAAAGACAAAAGAACTGATAAAAAAGAGCTGTTATAGGAGCAATAGCCATGTGGGCAGCGCTGCGTCATATGCCATAGTTGTGCACAAGGTGTTTGTCACAGCTCCAGACTAGCGACTAGTTGACTTCGACTCGACTTTCATCACATAAAAGTCAACTTCAAAAAATCAGAAGTCGTTCAACCCCTAATATATACCCAGACCAGAACTAAGAAATCTTCAAATCAGTTGTAAAAACATAAAAGACCTTTTGGTTTGTTTAGGATCTCGTAACCCAAAATGTCACACACCTAGTTTTGGGGATGATGTGGGCAGCGCTGTGTCATATGCCATAGCGGTGCACAAGGTGTTTGTCCCAGCTCTAGACTTATTTGTTCATTAATGACGTCATCAGCGACTAGTCGACTTCGACTCGACTTTCATCACATAAAAGTCGACTTCATAAAATCAGAAGTCGTTCAACCCCTAGTACACACTGCATATGATTTTAATTTAATAAAATCTAATTCAGTTGTCATTTCTATAAGTTTCTGAACTGTGGTGATTGATAACCAAATTCAGCTGCAGTGTGTAGCCTCTGTCCTCAAGCCACCCCCTTCCCACCCTTTAAAGACACCCTATGGTAAAAATCAAGTATTTAATGTTATTTATGTCTATCTGGGGTTTTTAATATGCTTAAAGTCAAACCATGTGCAAATTTATCAAATGTATCATTGCTGAGTATTTTTTCCTTAAAACTGTGGTGCACCACAATCAAAAACATGGATTGAAACCACCCGTTTCCTACATCACAAACATGTAACTAGTCTTGTCAATGTGCAGGGCGGGGCTTTTCATACCTGCTCAAAGGTTTCTGTTTACAATGTGTTTTTGCAATGTAGCCAATCACAGACATGATGAGTTTTAAGGGATAAAATTAGTGACTGCAGGGAGTCTTTAAATCATTTTCTAAATCCACCCCTGGTTCTCTAAGCAATCAAAACCTTAAAAAAGTAAACTTGATACCTTTGATGATGGAATTCTGTTCTTGTCTGACGTGGAGGTGTTCTGTGATACAGTCACAGAATGTGCTCCATCCAGAAAAATCTGCGCAGTCACATCCTTATTTTCATGTTTAAAATTCAAAGATACAGTCCCATGATTTTCTAAAGTTTCTAGAGCTACAGAGAAAAATATATTTAAAATATAAAAGTCCACTAAGTAAAATCAATCAGAAGAAACCATTCAACAGCAAGAAATCATTTTGTTTAGTGTTTTCACTTGAATCTAGTGAACAGCAGAAAAGCAATAGAGAGTGTCTCTCTGACAGAGCTGTGAGCGATGCCTGTTTCACATGATCTGTCTGCAGTATTTTTTTTTTTTTCCAGGTTAACAGATTAGAGCATTCACACTGCACACACACACAGAAGCGGTGGGGCAGATGCATTGCATGATTGTGGTGCAGCAGTGCAGTGATCGTCTCCATTCTGAGACTATTGTTGTTGCACAGCAAGCACTGTATGACAGTATATGTTCGTGGTCAAAATGAACATGGATTGACACAAGAATTTTGTATTTTCGCCATAAATGCAGTTATGTTTTCATAAAGTTATAATTTTTGGTTTGAACTGGCCTTAACAGTAAGCGTTAGTTGTAACTTTAAAATTAACATTTTACTTAATACTTCACTCATTACTTGACTTGAAATGTCATCTGTAATTGTAATATGTGTTTCTAGTAATGTGTTACCACCAACACTGGTATTTGCCTTTGTGTAATATAACAATACAAAAAAAAAATGCTTAATGTATTTTAGCTATTTCAGATACTATCATCTACAAGATTTAAACTGAAAAGGGCATTAAAGTGAATTATCATAAATCATCTCACCCGTTGATGGTGTAATCTGCACCTGTGCCCATGATTGATCATCCATGAGTTTTACGCTGTGGACTGATGGTGCTCCTTCTAGTTTGAACAACCATCTCTGAATGGCAATCTGTAATTTTTTACTCCATTTATCTGGAAATGGTTCTGTCCAGTCCACTTTGATTTTCAAGTTGGCAATATCCAGTGGTGCTGAGGGTTGTGATTGGGTTGTGTTTATATCACCATTTTTACAAATGTCCTGTTATAGGAAACATTATAATGAATGCAGAGTCATATTTCTATATGAAAAAGAAGCTATACTCACTCATAGCCGAGTTATGTTTAAAAACTATTTTATGATGAAGAATAGCAAATGCAGACAATAAACTAAACCATAACAAAAATGTTATGTTTTCATATTTTATATTGTTTCCATTATAAATTCATTTAATTTTATAATTTTTTAATTGGACAGCAGTAATAAAGAAATATCACAGTCCTTTGACTGCTATCGAATTCATTTAAATCAGACACTGTAGCACATCATCGGGAGTAAAAGTATTGAGGGAGGGAATGACCTGGAGAGTTATACGGTCTAAACTCTAAAATTATGTGAATGATAATGTGTTTATAGACAGGAACATAAATCATTGTGTTAATTAACACGTTAATGTGTTCACTCTTCTTAATTCTATGCACTGGCATTTAATCATTCATATAAACATATAATTACTGATATTCTGGTGTCAATGTCCCTCAGAAAATCTATGGTTCAAGCTCTACTCTTTAATCAGTACCTCCTCTGGCTGAGAGTCTGGTTTGTTTGTTGTGATATCCTGATGCTTCTGTTCATCCAGAGATGATCTAGAGTCTTGACCTTCAACACGGCTTGATGGTAAATTCTAAAAACAAGAAACACCATGTTAAAAATTATTTTAATGATATATTTTAAGTCTACAAAACAATTAGTTTTATATTTTTCAAATCAATATCTGTCACAAAGGGTTTCAGGAAGACGCATGACGAGGAATAATCTGATTCAGAACAGACTTAAATAATATCCACAGGTCAATCTAAACAAAGGAATGCATGCAAACACAAACATAACAGACAAGAAAAGACAAATGAGAACTGAAAACACAGGCACTTATATACACAGATCAAACAAGGTCATTAATAATGAACAGCTAAACAGAATAACAAAATCAAATCAGTGACCATGCTGAAAATGGCAAACAAAACATAACAGAACCGTGACAATATGAACAGAAGAGAGGTTTTGGATTTTGTGTACCTTAGAATCAACAAAAGGTTTTTATTGTTATTTATTTATTTATGTATTTATTTAAGTTTTTTATTATCTTTTACATTCACATTTGGCAGATGCTTTCTAAAGCAACTTACAGGTACACATGCAGGTGAATTCTAGGCGTACATTGTATCAGTTCTTGTAAACCCATAACCAAAGCCATGTGCTGTTGTTTTAGCTATAGGATCGTGAAGAGAGTTGCAAACGAGATTACACCTCAAACATGTTATTGTCATATCTGTGACTGAGCGGGTTATTCCACCACATGATGGAGTTCGTCCAACAAACCACTATCTATGAAGTGATTTCATCTACTTGACAGCTGTGAGTAACAGTCATTACAGTAGGGGTTCCCAAACGTTTTAATTCCAGGACACACTTAGACAAGTATAATCTATCCCAAGACCCACCTAAATAATTTTAAAGGGGATTAGGGGAGGAAAAGTGATTTATTTATATTTATATATATATATATATATACAGGTGCATCTCAATAAATTAGAATGTCGTGGAAAAGTTCATTTATTTCAGTAATTCAACTCAAATTGTGAAACTCGTGTATTAAATAAATTCAATGCACACAGACTGAAGTAGTTTAAGTCTTTGGTTCTTTTAATTGTGATGATTTTGGTTCACATTTAACAAAAACCCACCAATTCACTATCTCAACAAATTAGAATACTTCATAAGACCAATAAAAAAACATTTTTAGTGAATTGTTGGCCTTCTGGAAAGTATGTTCATTTACTGTACATGTACTCAATACTTGGTAGGGGCTCTTTTTGCTTTAATTACTGCCTCAATTCGGCGTGGCATGGAGGTGATCAGTTTGTGGCACTGCTGAGGTGGTATGGAAGCCCAGGTTTCTTTGACAGTGGCCTTCAGCTCATCTGCATTTTTTTGGTCTCTTGTTTCTCATTTTCCTCTTGACAATACCCCATAGATTCTCTATGGGGTTCAGGTCTGGTGAGTTTGCTGGCCAGTCAAGCACACCAACACCATGGTCATTTAACCAACTTTTGGTGCTTTTGGCAGTGTGGGCAGGTGCCAAATTCTGCTGGAAAATGAAATCAGCATCTTCAAAAAGCTGGTCAGCAGAAGGAAGCATGAAGTGCTCCAACATTTCTTGGTAAACGGGTGCAGTGATGTTGGTTTTCAAAAAACACAATGGACCAACACGAGCAGATGACATTGCACCCCAAATCATCACAGACTGTGGAAACTTAACACTGGTCTTCAAGCAACTTGGGCTATGAGCTTCTCCACCCTTTCTCCAGACTCTAGGACCTTGGTTTCCAAGTGAAATACAAAACTTGCTCTCATCTGAAAAGAGGACTTTGGACCACTGGGCAAGAGTCCAGTTCTTCTTCTCCTTAGCCCATGTAAGACGCCTCTGACGTTGTCTGTTGTTCAGGAGTGGCTTAACAAGAGGAATACGGCAACTGTAGCCAAATTCCTTGACACGTCTGTGTGTGGTGGCTCTTGATGCCTTGATGCCTTGATGCCTTGACCCCAGCCTCAGTCCATTCCTTGTGAAGTTCACTCAAATTCTTGAATCGATTTTGCTTGACAATCCTCATAAGGCTGCGGTTCTCTCGGTTGGTTGTGCATCTTTTTCTTCCACACTTTTTCCTTCCACTCAACTTTCTGTTAACATGCTTGGATACAGCACTCTGTGAACAGCCAGCTTCTTTGGCAATGAATGTTTGTGGCTTACCCTCCTTGTGAAGGGTGTCAATGATTGTCTTCTGGACAACTGTCAGATCAGCAGTCTTCCCCATGATTGTGTAGCCTAGTGAACCAAACTGAGAGACCATTTTGAAGGCTCAGGAAACCTTATATATATATATATATATATATATATACAGTGGGTATAGAAAAGAATCAGGGATTTATGACAAAGGCTACGTTAACACTGCGTGCCTTAGTGCTCAATTCCAATTTTTGCTCAGATCCATGATGTGAACAGATCATGGTCCTGAACTGAGGACATAAAGTAAACCGATTATGTGTTTATAGTGTGATCTGCCGCAGTGGCCAACGGAAGTATGCGCAGGCAATATGAAATATAAAGACAAAGATGTGACAGAAGAGAGCAGAGTTTTGAAACTTTTGTGATATGAGCCCTTATGTTGTGCTTGTATATAGAGTTGTCACTGTAGTACTTATGAGTTCTGGCACATCACTGTACTTCCACTGACTACCTTTCGCAACTGTCTTGATAACTTTGGGTGTGTAAAATCTTAGAAGTGACTCCCATGAGCGTGATGAATGTTGATCTAGAGCAGTGGTTCCCAAACTTTTTGCTGCGTGCACCCCTTTCTAGTGTTTGACACTTGTCAAGCACCCCCACCACCGTTCTCCGGTTAAACACCACATTTTTTACTGCAATACAGGTATAATTACAAGTATTCACTGTATACAGGGCTTGACATTAACTCTTTTGCTCACCAGCCACTGTGGCTAGTGGTTTTCCAAAATTACTAGCCACTCAGCATTTTCACTGGCCACAATTTTGTTTCAAATGAAATCAGTATTAACAAAACCAAATTTTCCACCGCTGGAGAAACAGAAGCAGCTGAAGTGGCATTTAGATGCATTTACACAGACAATTTAATTAAGCTGAAATGTAGCATAAATATATTAACACTGCAAAATTACAACAGCATAAATAATGCTGTGAGCTTGGTTTTACATCAGGTTTTTTTATTTACAAATATCAAAAGTTGTAAAAAATACAAAAAAAAAGTTACTTTTAAATTTGAAAGACTGTTCACACTGCAAAACATCTGACCTGAATTGGATTTAGTGCCACATATGGAAGTGGTACGAATCGAAATAGAAAAGATCAGATTCCATGGGGTTTGTGCTGCTCACACTGTCATGAGTAAAACAGATCTGAGTCACAAGTGAGCAAAAAAAATTGGATTTGGGCCACATTTGCCTGCAGTGTGAACATAGCAGTGGTCATTGTGTGCACGTGAAGATTCTGAGCCCACGTAGAAAAAGGTGTTATGGTCAGATGAGACTAAAATTGAATTATTTGGCCTCAACACCAAACGATATGTCTGGCAGAAATCCAATACAGCTCAGCATCCAAATAACAGCATTTCTTCAGTAAAGCAAGGAGGTGCTGATGTCCTGTTATGGGGTGTTTCTCTGCAGCAGGCACTGGAGCACTTGTCAGGATAAGAGGAAAAATGATGGGGCAAAATACCGTCAAATTCTTGAGGAAAATCGGCTGCCCTCTGCCAGAAAGTTGTCAATGGGAAGAAGGTTTACCTTCCAACATGATAATGACCCATAGCACACGGCAGAACTGAGCACACAGTGGTTGAAGGAGAAAAAGCTGAATGTCCTTGCATGGCCTCATCAGAGCCCAGACTTAAACCCCACTGAAAATCTGAGGAAGGACATGAAGACTGCAGTCCACAAACGCTCACCATCAGATTTAACTGAACTTGAGCATTTCTGCCAAGAAGTGTGCACAAATATTGCAAAGTCTAGATGTGCAAAGTTAGTAGAGACAAATCCCAACAGACTAAAGGCTGTTATTAAAGCAAAAGGTGCTTCAACAAAATACTGACACAAGGGAATGATACTTTTTTCAACAAGTGATTCTGTTTGATTTATTTTTATTTTTATTCTGACAAGTTGGTGTTATATCTTTCACTTGGATGTTAAAAGCTGCAGTAAATACAGCTGGATAAAACAAAACCTTCAGGCTGCAAAGAACAAGATGTGATTATTTTAAAGGGGGGTGATTCTTTTCTATACCCACTGTATGTGTGTGTATGTACTGTGTGTATATATATATATGTATATATATATATATACAGTACATACACTGTATCTCTCTCTATATATAGAGATAGAGAGACAGCCATTAGCGCTATCTTGATACTGGAATCTCTAACTTTGTTACATTGCCTAGAAATATAACATTTGTATTGAAAGATAAATATAACAAGGCTAGAACATGACAATAATAATTTCTTTGTTGTTGTTGTTTTTTTGTTTGTTTGTTTTTTTTAAATCTCTCTGTCTGTCAAAAGGAAGATCCAGAATTACTCCTTATTGTCTCTGCAAACACAGGCCGCTAAACCGGTGTGGCCAGTAAGGTCTTGGTTGTACCTACTTTGGAGTGTAGAGGAGGTACATTATGTATTGTAAATAGCAGCCTATCACAAGAGACTACCTATGTTTTCTCTTTATTGAGAGGTTAATACAAAGTTCTGTCATGAAACTCTAGATGCTGCAGACCGATAGTTTCTAACTCAATCTGATATAATCACATCATTATTCACGTGGCGCAGCTTATCGGTTTTCACATCAGCAGCCAATGAGCTTGCTGCTCAGTATTCAAATACTTGGCTAGTGCTTGCTGTTGCAGTACGTTTCAGAAAGCATCTGAAATCAACAACTAAGATAAGTGAACGCTCTTTTTCTCCATTTCACTGAGCATATTGCATGGTCTGCCTTATTAATATCTAAATGAGCAACCATAATCAAGCTTTAAACTAAGCATCATTTGTAACAGTCTTGCATTCTCATGCAGGAGAAAAATACTAAGCATATAAGCAGTAGAATTTACGCAACTGTATTTATACAGCTGCAACAACAAGCAGTCTAGTGTATGTAATCGCCGTGAGGACACACAGACAAGCTACAAACATGAGAACAGGTTTAAATGAAATAAGCATTTGTACTTGTATACACTTCAACCGGGGTTCACAATATTTAGCTGCGTAACCTCAATGTCACATTCATTTATTTAATACATATGAATTCTCTCATTATAAACAACAAAGTGCAGAGGTACGTGTGATGTAAGTATAAGAGATGCATTCATCACATAGTGTAGATTCACTGAGTTTAACAGGAATGTTTTTAAAGTGCATAAACTCACGCTAGACTGAGCTTGTGATGATGTTCTTAGGGTAATGTAATGTTCCCCTTCAGGAACTCGAGCTGCGTCGAGATTCGCTTTGGGAACGCCCTTGCGTGACCGCGTTCTGAAGCACGTGTCAAATCAGTCCAATGGAGCAGCGAGACGAAAGTATAAAAGCGCATCCGGCAGAGCGCAAACCAGCTTCTGCTCTTCAGTAGCGCTTCTGACGGCGGGGGATATACACATGATTTGTGTGTCGTTTGTTTGGGTGCGGAGCATGCACGGTCAGCTTTCGAGGGGGCTGATTGTCATGACATGGGGCGATGCCAATGGTGGAGCAGACGCTCGCGAGCTATCTCTCCCCATCCTCGGCATCGTCCCTGAAGGCCCCGAAGCTTCCCACCAGGCCTGTTAAGCTTACATCTAGTCTGGTTGGGAAAGCTTATACGACAGGTCAGGCTGGCGCATGCTTGCACATCATGGCAGTGTTACAAGCGTACCAGGCTGACCTGCTCAAGGACCTGGATGACAGGGAGGAGGGGGAATCCGACGTGGTAGCTGAACTGCGTCGGGCCACAGTGTTAAATACAAATTCAGTCATATTAAAAACATTAGGCTGCTCTTAGTCTTACGCTGGAGTTGGTTCACTTTCTCGCAATGAAACTAAGTAAATAATTACATAAATTAGCACGATAATATTGTGTATCGGCGATCTCACAGGCTGATGATAGGACGATATGAAAATTGAGCATATCGCCCAACACTAGCTTGTATTGTCCATTTCTGTGTCTCCTGCTTTATTGGGGGGTTATTTCATGTATGTTATACAGTATGTGCAGCAGCAGTATTTCTTACATGCTCACAGCAGCATGTCTGTGGATGTATTGGTAGTATCAAGTCTCGGTAATTGCTCTGCAGCAGCAGCAGCAGCAGCAGCTTAGCAGATCTATTCCTCCAAGACCAAACACGTTAACACTGCCATGTATATTACCATGCTAAACTCTCAGAGAGTTGTCATGACAGAAAAGGGATAGTTCACCCAAAATTAAAATTAGCTGTTAATTTACTCGTCTTCAGGCCATCCATGATGTAGGTGACTTTTTTTCTTCAGTAGAACAGTAAAGAAGATTTTTAGCTGAAATCGTGGTCCTTGATGATTCTTAAAATGCTAGTCCACAGCACCCGTCACTTTGAGAGTTAAAAAAAGCATATCAAGCAACAAAAAATTAATCCCCATAGCTCCTGACGATATGAGTTCTTATGAAGTGAAACAATCAGTCTGTGCAAGAAACTAAATATTATTTACAACATTATTACCTGTAATCCATAGTCTCAGGCAATCGGTCTGGAGTGATGTCTGGTCCACGAACGAATCATTTTTTTGAACTGGTTCTTTTTGGTGGACTATTTGAAGTTTGTGGCTTGACAAGTTATTCAATCAAAACTCACTTTCAGACGCCTGTCAGTCACTCTTACTCGAAATTAGCCAAAATACCGGCGTATCTGATCCTATGATGCTGGTTTTTGCCAACTTATTCAATGGTCCAGTTCCTCCAGCAGTCACTGAACTGAGGAAACAGTTTGACTCGGACTGAAGCCACTGATATGCTCGTGCGTGAACCCAGCACTTGAAGGAAGGGGTCAAATGAAAGTTTTTATGGTTTCTCATTGTTTATGTAAAAAGGTAAATAGAATAGTTTATTGATTTTAAATGCTTTAGACATGTAAAGCATCCAAGCTTCTGTCACAGTTGGTTTTGGGTGTTGGTTTATGTTCATGTTTTCATGTCTTTTATTTTGTAGATTTGCCACAGTCATGTCCTCTGTCATGTGATTCCCTGTTCCTTCATGTGTCATGCTTTATTTGGTTTATTGTTTTGACGTGGTATTTTGTTCTGCCTTCTGTTTGGTTCTTGTTCCTCAGCTCATCTCTGTCATTGGTTGGATTGTGTCATGTGACCCCATTTGTTTGATATATATATATATATAGCCCTCATGTTTCATTGTCCATTGTTTAGCTTTGTTCGTGTAATCCACTGTTTGGTGAGTTTGTTCGTGTTTTTGCCAAGCCAAGTCTTGTTCATTTGGTTTCTGCTCACTTTTGGATTTTATTAAGCTGCACATGGGTTCTCATTCAACTTGCCTCCAGTGGACGTTTGTTACAGTTTCATATCACTATTGGCTGCTTTAATAATATAATTGCCTATATGTTACATCATTGCATGATTACATAAACTGGTGAATCAGGTTTTTGAACCAGTTCATTAAAACGAACTGTCCAAAAGAACCAGTTTGTGGAAAAGAATCAGACTTCCCCGTGTGCCTGAGGCTGTGGATTACAGGTAATAATGTTATGCAAATAATGTTTCTTGCAAAGACTGATCATTTCACTGAAGGCCCATGGGTATTAATTTTGTTTCCCTGATATGCTTTTTTTTCACTCTCAGAGTAATGGTAGCCTTTGACTTGCATCTTATATCACCAATGACCACTGTTACTGTTCTACTGAAGAAAAAAAGTCACCCATATCTTGGATGGCCTGAGGATGAGTAAATTCACAGCAAATTGATATTCTATAAAATGTTTATGAAAATCTATTAGAAACCTTTATATTAGAAATCTATTAGAACTTAGAAAATATATGGCTCAAGCTCTGGTCTTTAGTCAATACCTTCTCTGAGTCTGATTGCTTTGTTTGACCCGATGTGATGTTTTGATGCTTCATGTGATCCGGAGGATGTCTAGAGTCTAGACTTTCAGCACCTGCTGCACTGAAGTCCTAATGTCCACATTTAAAAAAATAATTAAATAAATAAGAAGAATATTCTCTGTTTTAATATCAATACAATTAATAACTGCTTTCTGTGACGGCAAGTAACTCAGCAACACGTTGAGACACCTATGTCTGTGCATATCTGCAACACCTTATTTTAGAATATAAATGTAGGTTAAATAAATATGTCAGGATAATTCACTCACACCAGTAGTTGACAACTGTGTATGACACTGAAGGCAATACATATCAATATTCAGTATCGACTGATATATCAAACATGGGCAGTGAACTGTTCCCATGGATAAAATATAATTATTTTGTGAACATCATTGCACAGTGACTGGTACTCACCTGATCATTAGATTGTATTATCTGAGCAGGTGAGATCTGTTGAATAAAGAATAATGTTCTATATATTAATATAAGTACAATAAATAATTGCCATTGTAATTTGTTCTAACTGACTGCCACAACCCTACAACCCTTCTCATTATGTCATAAATATATTTTTCTGTTTAATAGCTTGATTGCAATCACGTGATTCTGATGACACATGAAATTCAGATGGAGGGCAGGTAGTGAAAAGCTGAATGGATGAGATGGAGGAAAGTCCGCACTGTACTGGTTTAGACACTATTCAAGAGGAAGGTATAAACAGAAAATCACAACATATGCTGGACGTGATCCTTATGTAATGAAGAGGAGCAAATTTTCAACTAAACTGAAATACTTTCCTGCCATCGGGGCGGTGGATATAGGCTAAGCAACTAACCCTGATTGCAAACAAGCGATTTCGAAAGTGAATCCCGCATTTAAATGAGTGATGCGGGATATCCTGAAACTGTGCTGCATGTACAGGGTATGAACCCATTGGTCCTGTTAGCAGCATGTAAAATAAAAGTTTTATTCAAATTCTTAATTGATTATAGTCTAGAAAGCGAGAAAATAGTGCTTCCATATAATCACTAAAAAGCTGTCACTTCAATTTATCGCAGTCTCACAATATTCCGTTATAATCAATGAAGCTCTCTAAACTGCACATATAATATGTGACCGTGGACCACAAAACCAGTCATAAGGGTCAATTTTGTGAAATAGAAATGTATACACCATCTCAAAGCTGAATAGGACAATATTTGGCCGAGATACAACTATTTGAAAATCTGGAATCTGAGGGTGCAAAAAAATCAAAATATTGAGAAAATCACCTTTAAATTTGTCCAAATGAAGTTCTTAGCAATGCATATTACTAATCAAAAATTAAGTTTTGATATATTTACAGTAGGAATTTTACAAAATATCTTTATGTAACATTATCTTTATGTCCTAATGATTTTTGGCATAAAAGAAAAATCAAAAATTTTGACCCATACAATGTATTTTTGGCTATTGCTACAAATATACCCCAGCGACTTGAGACTGGTTTTGTGCTCCAGGGTCACATATCTTATTTCCATCGTGTCTATGTGTGAATTCTGACTGTCTCATGCTGAATGCGTGAGAGTTGGCAGCCCTGTATCTATTTATATATTTCTGTGTTAATATTTTAAAGGGGTCATATGATGCAACTTCAATTTTTCCTTTCTCTTTGGAGTGTTACAAGCTTGTGGTTGCCACAAGCCCTCCGGATGATCCTACGTCGAATCCGCCGGCAGCGCCGTTCTCAAGTCCGCCGGCGCTCACTCAAGCCCGCCGTGTGTGGTGCTGTGTGACGCATTTTATGGAAGACTGTTTCCTGAACCTGCAGAGTAACATTAGCCTACAATGCGTCTGTGGCTCAAAGGCTGTTCTATAAAGTGGGGCAGTTCCAACTTTGCAAGGACAGTCT